CTGCCAATTTCACTGATACTTTCGCACAGAGCTGTTAATAAAAAGGCGTCTGTTGATACGTTCCCATCCATCTGTGCTATTAATTGCTGAAAGCATTCTCTGCAGCCGTTTTTCTTTCTCCTGACAGCACTGCCTACTATAGAAGTGCTTTTGTTTAAGAAGTCTCCCCTGCGTGGCTCGTGACATAAGATCAGGAGCAAATAAAATAAATATACCTTTGTGCCACAATACATAAAAACAGGAGTGAAAATTCTTCATAGCTTATTCTAAGGAGTCTCTTGGCTGTAGATTTTTACATACCCCACTGACCATTTCACTTTAATTTATTATTTATTATTAATTCCATTTATACCCCGCCCTCCCTGCGAACGGGCTCAGGGTGGCTTACAGCAGTGGCCCAATTGCCAATAAAATCGATAAAACAATATACATTGTTTCATAATAAGTTAAAACATCTGGATCTTCTTTTGGCAACGTATTCAGTGCTCCCTGTCACATTTAGGTGTGATGTTGCAGGTCTGCATTTTCAATGTCTTTGCAACCAAAGACAATTCCTCCTTCTGGAGCCTTTGTTGCAGGTAATTTCAGAAGGTAGCCGTGTCGGTCCACAGTAGAACACCTAGATCTGAGTTCAGTAGCAGCTTAGAGACCAACAAAATTATGTGGAAATAAGCTTTTGAGAAAGCTTATACCCTGAAAATCTTGTGCTCTAAGGTGCTATTGCACACAAACCTAGTTGCTGTAGTTGTTCATATTTCTTAGGCAGTATTTGGAAAAGTTTATATTTTAGATCCTATACATACTTGCAAACATCTTACCTGTAGCAATTTTCTTCTTCCAGCAGGCTTAATTTGTAACTCAGGGTCTTGTTTTAAAGACCAACTTGTAAATGCTTTCGTGGGAAAGAGCCAACTTCATCAGATGCATGTAGCGAGTCCTCAATAGGCAGGCATATATAAGAAGATCAGAACAGCAAAAGGATGGTAGAACAGCAGGGGTCCAAGGGCCTTTCTTGAAATTCACAAAATACAACGTGAAATGCAATTAGGTAAAACTACTTCTGAGCCTTTTTCTTCATACCTCTGCGTAATGAGGACCCACCTCACATGTCTGACAAAGTGGGCTCTAGTCCACAAAAGGTTATGCTGCAATAAAACCTGTTGGTTTTTAAGGTGACACAAAACTCCTATGTATTTTTGCCGTGAGGGGTTAACAAAGCTTCTCAACTGGTTTTTACACCAACAGTGCCATTCTAAGGAGAGTTACGACATTGACTTCAATGTCCTTAGAAGGGTGTAACTCCACATGGCAGGACTGGGTCCAGTTTTTTCACTCAGTCTTGCCTAATTACCCTCCACACTAAATTTTGCATTCCACATGTTTTTTTATTGTCCATGCAGGTCCTGTGATCTCCAGCAAGGACATTTTGGCAGTCAGAGGGGACTTCCCTCTTGCCTTCCTGCCTTCACCAGCAGAAAAGCTGGTCTTACGTGTGTGCTGTTCTTCTGACACAAGTCACACAAATTTACATCCAAGATTTCCTGCAATTTAGATGGAACTACTACTGTGGAGAAAGCCCCATCTGCCTTGTTTCAGACCTGAAAAACAGATTAGAAACAGACATCAGTCGGTAGCCCGTAGCGTGGGAGAAAATGGTTACTCAAAATGGAAACAGTTTTCCTATCATGTTCAGCTTTAAACTCTGTAACAGCTAGATTGGCCGTCTACCTGTCCCGCCCTGACCAAGCCACAGTAATCCACCCAATGGACACCTCCAGATTAGACTACAATAACTTGCTCTACATAAGACTACCCTTGAGACTCACCCGGAAACTCTAGCTGGTCTAGAACACAGTGGCACAGATCCTTACAGGGACCTAGCAAACGGCATATATTCGACCTGTGCTGTGCAACCTGCACCAGATCAAGTTCAAGGTTTTGGTGCTTACCTTAACAGTTAGGGACCCGCGTATCTTTGGGACCGCCTCTCCAGATATACCCCCTGAAGAGCATTTGGAACTCTCTGCCAAGTAATATCTGTGCCCTGCGGGACATAATGCAGTTCCGCAGGGCCGGTAAGGCAGACATGTTCCGCGAGACGTTTGGTTGAGGACAGTGATGGCACCCATCTGACTGGCACCCTTACCCCTTGCCGCCCCTCCGCAAGGTGGTGGCACAATTAGAAGTCTCAACTGCCATCTACTTAAGTTGATACTGTGATTTTATTGTAATGTTCACGTTTTAACCTCAAATTAGTATGAATATGGTTGCTTTATCTATTGTTGTACACCACCCTGAGCCCTGTTTACAGGGGGAGGGCAGCAGTGTTCCCTCTAAGCTGAGTTAGTGTGAGCCAGCTCACAGTTTTGTAGCCTCCGGCTCACACATTTCTGTCTTAGCTCAGGAAGGGATGGCTCCAGAGCAAACTGATTTATGCAGTAGCCAAATTGCTCGCTCACAACTTTAATGCCAGTAGCTCAGAAAGTAAAATTTTTGCTCACAAGACTCCACAGCTTAGAGTGAACATTGGAGGGCAGTATAAAAAAAGGAATTTACTAAATAAACAGCCTGCCTCTGTGCCATTCGTTTTCACTTAGCTCTCGTCCGCAGCAGCTTCTATCTGACGCCTTCCCCCAGTTGTTGTCCAAAAAACCGTGAGGCGGACCATCTGTAGCTGCCACCAGAAAAAACCGGGGCCACCATCTTGAAACCAGATACTACAAGTCAACACAAAAAATACCGCTTTCCTACTGAATCCGTGAAGCTCGTAAAAACAGGAAAGCAGGCACGAGCCACTTCCCTGTGTTATTTTGCATTCCAGCTCCTGGATGCAAAGACCATAACCTTTGTTCTCCCAGTTAAAAACAAAACAGAACCACAAAACCCGTTTCTACATGACAAGTCACTCCCCCCCACCAATCTGATCGAGGTCAGCCGTGTTGGTGTGAAGCAGTGCAACAAATTCAGAGTGCAAATGGCACCCGGAAGACCTACAAAGATTTATTCAAGGTGTGAGCTAAAGCTCACACCTTGAATAAACCTTTGTCGGTCTTCCAGGTGCCATTTGCACTCTGAATTTCCCCCCCAATCTGTTGAACCTCCAGGAGTCCAAGCAAAAGGCCACCCCTCAAACCATACAGGCCTTTGCTGAAAGTAATATTGACACAGGCACACACACACACCCGGTCCTCACTTTAGTTTCCTTGGCTCTGACCAGTGTTCCCTCTAAGCTGAGTTAGTGTGAGCTAGCTCACAATTCTTTAGCCTCCGGCTCACACATTTTTGTCTTTGCTCAGGAAGGATGGCTCCAGAGCAAACTCATTTATGCAGGAGCCAAATCGTTCGCTCACAACTTCAATGCCAGTAGCTCACAAAGTCGAATTTTTGCTCACAAGACTCCACAGCTTAGAGGAATCGCCTCCCCCCCGACCCCAAACATACCCCACCGACGTTGCTTCGCCCAGCCCGACCCCGCATGCAACGAGGCCTTCCGGGCTCCGCCGTCGCTCTCCGTACCCCCCTCAGTCTCCGCCGGACGCCCCGCGCGGACATCGGACCCGGCCCCCGAGGTAGGCCCCGAAGCCGCGCGCTCTCCCAGGCGGAGCGGCCGCGACGCCGCGCGCCACCTGGCGGCCGAGCCAGCCACGCGAGCCCGAGGCTTTCAAGGCCGCTCGCCGGAGAGTTCCATCCGCCTCGGCTTCGTTCATCAACAAAAGCTGGCTGGGATAGGACGCCCCGGCTTCCCACCCTCGGCCCTGTTCGGGAATCTCCGGCTATTTCCGGAACATGAGCGCATCCCGCCCCCGCCCTTTGGAGGCAGGTTTATTTCCTGATCCCTCTGGGGCGAGCTTCTTTGCAGACTGTACCATTTGTGACAGAAGGGGGAACAGAAAGACAGACTGTGGCTGTAATCGCTTCGCCCCGTCTTATTTATTTATTTAAATACCGTATTTCTCTTCAAGGCATCATTCTCCTCTCCTGTGAGGATGGCGCCCCCCCATCCTTTCTCTTTGGACAGGTAACTTGGAAGAGTCTCATTGCAATGAGTGGGTCTCAGTTCCCACGCTCAGGACCGGCCTGCAACCTGCAGGCTGTACCTACACACAAGCGCTTGGAGACGGTCGTGTAAAGCATAAACGACCGCTCAGAATAAAACTTCAGAGTTGTGAGAACAGGTGTTTTGGTGTGTGTGTGTGGAATGAATGGGGTTTTTGGTTAACACAGGCCAGGTAGTCCAGACAGCTGTTAAGGGGGGTCCTATGAGCAAACTTTGCAGCGTTCATCGTCAAGTTTACAGCAAAAAAAAGACACGGAAATCGAAGCAAGATGCCGCTGTTAACATGCCCAGGCGCTTAATATTTTTGTTTAGTTTTTGCAAAAAGTTGTGCCGAATTAGTTGTAGATTTTCCGGGCTGTTTTGCCTCAATAGACAATCGTACGAAACGTATTATTGTTATCTACTTCCAGTTACAATCTTAGACCAGTTAATTCGTCTGTAAACTTCAAAGAACTCATCGGCACTTGCTTCCAATTAAACAAACAGATTTACCAAGTTATCTAACAAGTTATGCCCCGGAAATCTTTCGGGTCTCCACGGTGCTCCTGGACTCGAATCAACCCCCCCAAAACCCAGGAAAACCAGAATTGGCAGAAAAATAAAAACGCCGAAGTTAACACTTAGCCCCAAACTTCCTGCAAATCAATCTCTCCCTACTAGACTTGGTACGGTCCCACGCCCATCCAGGGAACTGCCCCCTGCCTTTTAAAAAAAATCAATTTAGCATAGCCACGCCTCTTCTGGTTGGAGGACGCAACCGCAGGACCGCCCCCTTCCCTGCGTCAGCCCTTGCCGCTTGGCGCCTGTAGCCCCGTGTAGGGGGGCGAGTCTATATAACGCGACGCCTGAGCAGGTCTCGACTCATTCGCGCCGAGGAGCGCGGAGGAAGAGGAGCAGGGAGGGGGAAAGGCGGCCGGACGTGGTCGCGAGGGGGGAGCGAGGAGGCGGAGGGGAGCCCGCTTTTTCGCGCGTCGCGTGGGCGGAGCGTGTGACGAGGTCCTTCCGCGAACGGCGGCGGGCTCGGTCTTCGGGGCCGGCGGGGAGTTTGACTCGGGCCTCTCTCGGCTGAAGCGGCGGCGGACTCGGGGGCGGGGCGGCTCCCTGCCTCGGTGACGGCGCGAGCGAGGCGGAGGCTTGAGCGCCGCCCGCGTCACGTGACCCGCCGCCGAAAGGGAAGCGCGCCAAGATGCACGGGGGCGCGCCCTCCGGGGACAGCGCGTGCCCTCTGCGCACCATCAAGCGCGTGCAGTTCGGCATCCTGAGCCCGGACGAGATGGTGCGTGGGAGAACTGGTGGAAGAGGCCCGGGGGGTGGGGGGCGCGATGGATGCCAGTTCCTTTGCTGTTGCACTGGGGAGGATCCGGCGAAACAACACGTGGCCGGGGGTTGGGGTGTGTGTGTGCGTGGGGGAGAATTGCAAAAAAGAAAAACCCTACCTTTGAAAAGTGGATTCGTGCCAAAGTACTATGCTGGATCTCAGTGGTTTTGGGGTGTATGATTTGGGGGGTGGGGAGCTTGCAATGCTCCCTCTAAGCTGCGGAGTCTTGTGAGCAAAGATTCTACTTTGTGAGCTTACTGGCAGTAAAGCTTACTGGCTGCTGCATCAATCAGTTTGCTCTGGAGCAGTGTTCCCTCTAAGCTGAGTTAGTGTGAGCTAGTTCACAGCGTTTTAGCCTCCTGCTCACACATTTTTGTCTTAGGTCAGGAAGGATGGGGCTCCAGAGCAGACTAATCTAGGCAGCAGCCAAATCGCTCCCTCACAACTTTAATGCCAGTAGCTCAGGAAGCAGAATTTTTGCTCACGAGACTCCCCACAGCTTAGAGGGGGCATTGCTGTGGAGCCATCTTTCCTGAGCTTAGGTAAAAATCTGTGAGCTGGAGGCTAAAAAACTGTGAACTGGCTCACACTAACTCAGCTTGGTGGGAATACTGGCAGCTTGTGTGATGCCCAAATAGTTCCATCTTGGGGGCGTTGCAGGCGTTGAGTGCTTGCCGAAGGGGGTGTGTGTCTGTTGTGGGGCATTGGCCATTCTGAAGCCATTCTCCCCAGTGTTGGGACTGCATCTTGGAAGAGCGCTGGGTGGCGCTTGAGCTGGCTTGGAGTCCTCCTTTCTTGTGAAAGAGAGCCGGTATGGGCTGGTGGTAAGAGTGTCAAGCTAGGAGGAGGTGGGAAAGCCCCAGTTCAGATTCCCACTCTGCCCTGGCAGTTTGGTGGATGAACGTCAAGCCTTCGTCGCACATTGTCTCAGCCTAACCTATCCCACAGGGTTGTTGTGAGGATAAAACAGGAGAGGAGACCAGTGGAAGATGTTTGGGGTGTTTTTATATTTCTGGCTGGCTCTACAACCCAAATCCTATTTCATGGTCTTTTCAATGCCACAGCCATGTTCATCTTATTGACTTACTGAAGACCGCGGTTTCCTGTCTCATTCCCAATGCTGATTTCTCCACCTGTTTACCCCTCTGCATATCTCTCCTAAATCCAATCACTCCTGCTATTGTCATTCGCTTGTTAATATCATTTGGCATCTGAAATCACTTTCCAATAAATAGGACAGGGACTCCCATCCTAGCTGTATTTGAAGAAGTGAGCAGCGGCTTGCAGAGGCTCCTCTCTTGACACATATTTTGTTAGTCTTTAAGGTGTGACTGGACTCTTGCTCTTTCCTGCTGTTATTGACTTACTTTGTGTAATCTGCCTTGAGTCCCAGTTAGAAAGGGAAGCTGTAATTAATGTAAATAAATGCCTCACTAGGAACAATACACATAGGCATCCCTTGCCTCATACTGGTTTTTAAAAAAATTGTCCATGCATTCTAAGAGAATCTGAAGCCATGCTATTAGTAAATTTGCTTTCTTTTTGCTACCTGTAATCCTGCCATTAAAAGAAGTCTGCAGTTGCTTGTTGTAGTCAAAACAGCATTTAAACCTTTTTGTTCAGTGACCATGGAGGAAATGGCATAATGGGACCCAGCTGCATTTGTATTCCGTCTCCCTGCCCCCCCCCCCCCAATATGGAGCTTGCATGTCCCATCATGGGTCCTGCACAGCTGATCTTCTTGGGGATGTGATCAGAGAAAGTGTTTTAACTCATATGCTCTTGATGCTGATTCTGTCTTTTTGTTTGTTTGTTTAGAAACGGATGTCTGTGACTGAAGGGGGGATTAAATACCCTGAGACGACAGAAGGGGGTCGCCCCAAGTTGGGCGGATTGATGGACCCTCGTCAGGGTGTTATTGAAAGGACCGGACGCTGCCAGACATGTGCAGGTGGGTGGCCCGGAATCATGTCTAGATGGGGAGCGGCAGCGGTGGGGTAAGAGTGGGTGGGAATCCCTGCCCAGGTATTGCCTGGCACCAGGGCCTGATGGCGCCCCCATCCTTTCTCTTTGGACAGGCAACATGACGGAGTGCCCTGGTCATTTTGGACACATTGAGCTGGCCAAGCCAGTCTTCCACGTTGGCTTCTTGGGCAAGACAATGAAGGTTCTACGCTGCGTCTGCTTTTTCTGCTCCAAGCTGCTGGTTGACTCTGTGAGTAGTGGCGATATGAATGATCCTAGCAAAGCAGCTAGCCCTTGGTCTTAAGTCCACTTGCCAGTGTCATTTGTCATGTTAAAAAGGAGGAACCATGTCCTGAGAACACACATGAAGCTGCCTTATTCTGAATCAGACCCTTGATCCGTCAGAGTCATTATTCGCTCAGACTGGCAGCAGCTCTCCAGGATCTCGGGCAGAGGTCTTTTACATCACCTGCTGCCTGTTTTTTTAACTGCAGGCTCAACCTGTCTTGATCTAGCTCACAGGGAGGGAGGGAGGGAGGACTTTTTATTTGGAGGAGCGGTTGTTCCTGTTCCCGGGTTGTTTGTTTCCACGACCAGAGTAGATCTTCACCTCTCCCTGAGAAGTTTTTCTCCAGTAAAAAACGAGCTGTGAAGAACTGCAGGATATCCCTAAACGTTTTCACTAACGGCTGGTTTTTCTGAGTGGGGATTGGGGAGCGTTTACCAGAAGTAAAGGGTGAGCCCGCACTCTTGAATCATCCCTACATGACTTGACTGATACTGGTGGCTTTGATTTGCATTATTTGTGCAAATAATGCCCTGAATTATCTGAACAGTTAGGTCACTCATTCCCTGCCTGTTTGAGCTCTTCTTTGAAAACGTAAGAGCAGAAATGCTGCAGAGGACTACGAGTTGCGGAAGGAAAAGGGAAAATATTCACTAAGGGGAATTGACAGCAAATCTCCAGCAACTGTCTGGGGAGCAGCGCAGCAGCAAGCCCCAGGCCTCTGGGAGGGATCGTCTTTGACGCTCTGGGGCTGCCCTGCGTGCCCACCAGGGGGAGCGTCGAGAGCAGGACCCCCAGGAGGCAGGTTGTGTCTCAGCACAAGTATAGGGGGCAGAGCCTGGCAGTGGGGGTGGGCAGACCTCGACTCTGCGTAGCCGGTGTATTCTCTTTAATGAGGGTTCTTGTGCCGGCATCTCACTTAAAAGTTCGCCATGCACAAGTTCGCATTCAGGGTCTCTTGTTATGGCATGAGTAGTACGATTTAGATCAGGGGTGTCGAACTCGTTTGTTACGAGGGCCGCATCTGACATACGTGAGACCTTGTTGGGCCGGACCACATGTGTGTCATAAAAGGTAATGCCAGGTAGCGAAGGTATAAAATTAACAAAGGACAAAAAAAACCAAAAGTTTTTTTAAAAAACTTAAAATAAAAACATGCTTAAAACATCAGCACGCTTGCAATATTTTGTTTATTTGACAGTGTCTGATAACTGACACCTCTTGCTCTGAATTACTGCATCAAAATGTCTGTGCTGTTGCAATCTTGAGTATGCTGTTCAGGTGTGTATCTGTAAGCTGCAAACCTACGATGACGCAGCAGCAGCAGAACTGGAAGAAGAAGCAGAAGACAGCCAGTTCCACTGCGGGCCTGATAGAACAGGGTTGCCACTTTCTGGAAAGTCAGGGAAATTGGTCTGAAGTCAGGGAAATTGTGATTAAAATATATTCAAGCAATGGATTTTTGACCTGCTGCTGCAAGAGCAAGATCTGTTCTTGTGGCAACTGCAATAGAGAAGTAGCAGAATTCAAGTAGAACTTAATGATGCCCTTTCCCAACGATTTTAGATAGAACGTTTATATAATTTTTAGTGTACCTTTAAAACAATAACAAAAATGTTATGTCATTTGTTAGCATTCAGAGTTTACTTGAATTGAAATTTGTATCTTGGTGTAATTTTATGTGCAATTGCAAAACAGATGTGTTGCTGCGGTTAATGTTGAAAGAAGCTAATATTAAATCTCTGGCAAATATTTTTGCAGTTGAGACTTGTGTAGTTGTAGAGTGGAACTGTACCTTGCATTAATGCAATACGACCAGTGTTCCCTCTAAGCTGAGTTAGTGTGAGCTAGCTCACAGTTTTTAAGCCTCCGGCTCACACATTCTTGTCTTAGCTCAGGCAGGATGACTCCAGAGCAAACTAATTTTATGCAGTGGGGCTGGGAGAGTTAAGGCTCTGACCTTAATCACCCCTTCCTCACAGGGCTCCTCCTTTTCCCCCTTCATTTCTGCAGAATAACCCCAAGATCAAAGACATCCTGGCCAAGTCCAAAGGGCAGCCCAAGAAGCGCCTGACCCACGTCTACGACCTTTGCAAGGGCAAGAACATCTGCGAAGGGGGGGAAGAGATGGACAACAAATTTGGAATGGAGCAGCCGGATGGGGACGAGGACATCACCAAGGAGAAGGTCAGACACGCGAAGGGGGAGGGCTGGGGGGGACCACCTTACAGCTTCTCGCGGTAAATCCTATTGGGGGGATTTTTCTATTCAGGTTTTTGGGGCACTCATGTCATGTATTTTTCAGTAATTAAAAAAAAATCTTTATGAAGTAGTTCTATATAAAGCATATTTTAATGTGCTGGAAAGATAATAAGACATTAAATTCAAAGAGCTGAGGATATTGAGCGACAATCTGACATCTCTAAGGTTTCCACACTCGGGGTGTTGTTAAATATTAAAAGCACCATTGAGCCGGCAATATATTTGACTTCAGTGGAGGGAAAGAATTCTAGAAGGGCATTTGCCCTAGCTAGATGTTCTGCCCTTCCATCTGCAGTTATTCAAGTCAGGTACAATAAAAACCGCTACTCTGAAAGGCTATGCCCACGCCTTTTAAGCGAGGTTGAATCAGAAGACCAGATGTTCTTCAGCTGTCCATTTTACAGGGAGGCTCGTCCTAAAATTATTACCCCATTAGTCGATAGGACACCTGGGCACATTAACACAAACAAAGCAAGGCTTCACTAGCTCCTGTCAGATAAGAATGCAGAGATTACACATTCAGTCACTGAGTTTTGTGCATTCTTAGATTGCAGGAATCGCATTTTAAAAGTTCTTAAATTCAGATTTCTATTTTTGTCTATTATGACTGTGGTTTTTTCTCTCCCTCACATGTTATGGTTACTCTGTATGTTGGTCTTCAGACGGTATAATAATAATAAACTAAACTAAACATTAAATTGCAAAATGTTAAAATTGGAGAGTATGTTTAGTTGATATATAGTCATCATTTGAAAACCATTAAAAAAATACTTGGGACGTGGATACCAGCCCTTTGTGTCGATCCAGCAAGCCGAGTGCTGCCAGAGGCCATGGGATTGATAATAACCCTGAGTTGTAAGGTAAAACACACCACGCTCTGCTATTAATCTCAGACCGCATCCATTAGATGTTGAATAAATTGCCTTCAGTAATTTTGTGTGCTGCAATGTTATTCTCCATCTCTGGGGGATCCCTTTTCCATTTTGAAGACCTGTTCTGTCACTCGGAAACGACTTCACAGTCATTCTTGTCTATTGTTACTCCCTTTTCCAAAGCAATCCCATGCAGTTTGCATCTGTTGACTGGAAAAAAAACACACAATCAGGATTAGGGCAGAAAGGCTCATGTTACACCTCATATAGCAACGACAATATCTTTCCTTCTTTATGCCTCTGTGATATTTCTGTACGGTGGCTCATTTGGAAAGTGAAAGCAATTTAAAAAGCCACCAGTAAAAACTTTCAGTAAGGGTCATTGTTTCAGTTAGGTCGGTTTTCCCCAAGTGATATGTCTAGAAGCTGCTATCTTTCTTATTTAATTTTCATAACCGATGGCTTGTAGTTTGAGCTTCGCCAAGTCCTTAAAGCAATAATTGTAACTGGCCTAGCAGACCATGCTAAGTAAAGTGTTTGTACTCAGTTTTTACTCGATCGTCTTAATACAAACAATCTGTTTTAATCTTATAGGTACTATAAACTAGCGTTCGAAACCAATTTTGAATGTTCTTAAAGGTGGGAATGGGTCTGTTACCGCTGTTCATACAGAATTTTAATTTTTTTGTTTTCCAGTTTAATACTTTTTAGCTTCATAACTATCTTCCTTGGTAATGGCTAGAAGTGTGCGTTCTTGTAAGGGAGCATTGCGTGCTTTATTCTTCTCAAATCTATTTTTATCTGCCCATTCCTTAACTAATAGTTCTTGCAACAGGTTACTTTAACGTGTGACAATTAATAGTGTTTTTTTAGTAGTGCAGAAATGGGTGTTGGCTGATTCCTTCAGCATTTCCGTAATGTTTTAGTGAAGGACCTCAGATTTTTAAGCCTCCCTGTGTGAATTCTTCCATTGAAGAGCAGGGCTCTGAAAAGAGACCTCACAAATGAACTGAAATTTATCAGCCTGAGGTCAAATGCATGGGTTGTCCTGGGGGATGGGGCAGGCTGTGACTTACTAAATGTCCACGTTGGTTTCGTTTCTCTCTATCCAGGGTCATGGCGGCTGCGGGCGCTACCAGCCGAGGATTCGACGTTCGGGCTTGGAGCTCTACGCTGAGTGGAAGCACGTGAACGAGGACTCACAGGAGAAGAAGATCCTGCTGAGCCCGGAGCGGGTCCACGAGATCTTCAAGCGCATCTCTGATGAAGAGTGTTTCATTCTGGGCATGGACCCCAAATACGCCCGGCCTGAGTGGATGATCTGCACCGTGCTTCCCGTCCCGCCACTGTCTGTTCGGCCTGCTGTTGTCATGCAGGGCTCTGCCCGGAACCAGGTAGGAGGCCAGGCTGGGCTGGGGAGGAGGAGGAGGAGCCCAGTTAAAAGCCCTCATTTTAGTACCTACTGAACGTCTCGCCTGGCTCACTCTCATCGGGGTCGGCCCCGGCTAGTACTTTGATGGGAGACCACCAAGGATGTCCAGGGTCACGACGCAGAGGCAGGCCATGGCAAACCCCCTCTGAACGTCTCTCGCCTTGAAAGCCCCTACCCGGTCGGTGGCAAATTGATAACATTTCTGCTGCAGTTCCGCAGGGCCTGCAAGACGGAGCTCTTCCGCCAGGCTTTCGAATAGGAGCCGCCGCCGCTACCACTACCACCAATGGGGCCTGTTACAGCACCGCCGGAAGCTAATGTGGCAAACAACATCAGGAGGCCACAGTAACCTCCCCTGGGATGAAAGGGCTGTGCAATAGGGAGAGAGGGTTTTAGTCATGTGGGATCCTTGGGCTTGGCCCATGTATTAAGTGTTTTAAATTGTTTTATTGTTGTTTTATCGCACTGTGTGCCATACTCTTGTAAGCCGCCCTGAGCCCGCAATGCGGGGAGGGCGGGGTATAAATAAAATAAATAAATAAATGTAGATTGTAGTCTGGGCAGAAGGAAAGTCAAATAACAGTTCAGTTGCTAATAACTAGAGAAGAAGAAGGAGAGTGGATTTATAGCCCGCCCTTCACTACCCAAAGGTGTCTCAGAGCAGCTTACAAACTCCTTTCCCTTCCCCTCCCCACAACAGACACCCTGTGAGGACCTGACCGTAACTGACACCCCCCTCCCCAAATTCCCCTCAGGACGATCTGACTCACAAACTGGCTGACGTTGTGAAAATCAACAACCAGCTGCGGAGGAATGAGCAGAACGGGGCGGCCGCTCACGTCATTGCGGAGGACGTGAAGCTGCTGCAGTTCCACGTGGCCACCATGGTGGACAATGAGCTGCCGGGGCTGCCTCGGGTAAGTGCTGCGGACTCCTCCGGCCTGGTGCTTCAGGGACACCGGTCGGCTCTTTCCCAGCGAGCCAGTGACGCCCCGCCTGGGCTAACATACCTGGAGCATTGTGTTCAGCTTGGGCACCGCAGTTTAAGAAGACAAGTTGGACCGTGTCCAGGGGAGGGCAACAAAAGTGATGAGGGGTCTGGAGACCAAGTCCTGTGAGGAAAGGCTGAAGGAGCTGGGTCTGTTTAGCCTGGAGAGGAGGCGACTGAGAGGTGGTGTGGTAACCATCTTCAAGTACTCGAAGGGGTGTCCTACAGAGGACAGTGCAGGAGTTGTTTTCTGTTGTCCCAGAAGGTCAGACCAGAACCAACGGGCTGAAATTAAATCAGAAGAGTTTTCAGCTAAACATCAGGAAGAACTTCCTGACAGAGCAGTTCCTCAGGCTTCCTCGGGAGGTGGTGGGCTCTCCTCCTCTGGAGGCTTTCAACCAGAGGCTAGATGGCCATCTGACAGCAATGCAGATTCTGTGAACGTAGGCAGATCATGGCAGGGAGGGTTGCATCAGTGCTTAGTTCTTCTGGCCCTTTCTTACATGCCCAGGGAAATGCTGATTGCCACTTTGGGGTCAGGAAGCAATTTTTTTCCTGGCCGGTTTGGCCAGGGATCCTGGAGGGTTTTTTGCTTTCATTTTTGATCTCCTGGGCGTGGAACAGCTATTTTTTGGGGGGGAGGTATTTGTGAATTTCCTGCATTGTGTATGGATTGGACGAGATGACCCTGGAGGTCCCTTCCAACTCTATGATTTTACATACATTGGCTTGGCTTGGTTGTTAAGTTGCTGCCTGTTTGGAATCCAACAACCTGTTTCAACAGTGGCCAACCAGCAGGACGTAAAAGCACTGGATTCAGAAGTATGCTGCCTCTGTATATGGACGTTCCCTTCACTCACCCTGGCTAATAGCCATCAATCACTTCTGTATGATCTATCTAACCCCCTTTTTAAAATCATCCACACAAATGTGTGCTATGGCTTTATACAAGGGCATTGCATCATTGGTTGTTTTATTTTCCTTTTCTTTCTTCATAATCTCCACCACGGAATCTGCATTTTTCACCACTGCCACACGGGAGTCATCATTTTCATTGAATTTTCTGCTAAAGCCCCAAGATTTGTTTCAAGCGCTGCCTCCGCCAGTTCAGACCTTATCATTGAATACCTAATGTTAATGTTTTTTGTTCTAGTCTGCATTACCCACATTAAACATAATTTGCCATGTTGTTGCCTGGTCACCCAACGTAGAGAGATTCTCTTGCAGCTCTTCACAATCTGCCTTGGCTTTTGCCATCCTGAATAATATGGCTTGGTCTGCAAACTCGGCCACTAGGCTGCACTGCTGGACCTCCTGCTGGCCCCCTGGTCTTTTTGGCCACTGTGTGACAGAGTGTTGGACTGGATGGGCCATTGGCCTGATCCAATATTGGCTTCTCTGATGTTCTTATGATAAGCTCTGTACCTGCCTCTCCGTCTTGTAGGCGATGCAGAAATCGGGGAGGCCTCTGAAGTCCCTGAAGCAGAGGCTGAAGGGAAAAGAGGGGCGCGTACGAGGGAACCTGATGGGGAAGCGAGTGGATTTCTCTGCCCGGACGGTCATCACCCCAGATCCCAACCTGTCGATCGATCAGGTGGGCGTGCCCCGCTCCATTGCGGCCAACATGACCTTTGCTGAGATTGTGACGCCCTTCAACATTGACAGGTGAGGCCTCTCTGAGACTGACGGCAACTTGGTGCCATGCCCGTTCCAGTCTGTGTGTCTGCTATAACCCCTCTTGATCCTTCTAGGCTGCAGGAGTTGGTGCGCAGAGGGAACAGCCAGTATCCTGGAGCTAAGTACATCATCCGGGACAACGGGGACAGGATCGACCTTCGTTTCCACCCCAAGCCCAGTGACCTCCACCTTCAGATAGGCTACAAGGTCAGTGCAGGGTAGCAGTCCTGAGCCCAAGGTGGGAACTGAGTGGGGGTATCAGTGGGTGCCCGACCAGTGGAAGAATCGTGGAGCCCATATGGCCTTACTCTTTGAGTGTTTTGTCTGCAAAGAGAAGCTTTTGCACAGGATGGCGGAGGGCTGTGTTTCTAGATAAAGGAAAAGACAGCCTTTTAAAACAACCTGCAGAAAAGTGCAACAGCACAAAAGGGGGAAAGGACCAGCAAACTAAAAAATCTATTTAGGAAATGCATACAACTGCAAGGGTGAAATCTATACACTGGGATAAGTCCAGTTACTGCTTCAAATTACCTTCTTCGGATAAATGTTGCGCTTTTCTTCAAATATGAAACGTGCTTCTTTCTTGCGTGAAACCACCAGTAAAATTAGAGCTGATGGGGAAGTCGTTTCTCTCTGAGGCTCTCACAAGGTTTTCTTGCAAGTTGTGATTGGATTTCCTTGTATCCTGGTGCTTGTATTTCTCCCATGCAATTGTGTCTGTCCTCTAAACAGTCGTTCAGTATATCTATTGTAGTAGATGGGTGGTTTTTTCCCCCTTTAGAGCTGTGTTTCTGTCACTTGGCAGCCTTCAAATGCATCCTGTACACGGCAGCCACGGCTGTTTTGAAATGGAGCCTTTCCATTCCTGTGGATCTGAGTGGCTTCCGGCCGAATGCCCAAAATGGATTGCCCAAATTTAATGGAATAAAGCACGTACAATTTCTGGGCGTTCCTTGTCTCTCTTTGTTTCCATTGTTCTCTATACATGTTGATGACATGTTCAGTGTTTCCTCTAAGCTGAGTTAGTGTGGGCTAGCTCACAGTTTTCTAGCCTCTGGCTCACAGATTTTTGTTTTGGCTCAGGAAGGCTGGCTCCAGAGCAAACTAATTTATGCAGTAGCCAACTCGATCACTCACAACTTTAATGCCAGTAGCTGACAAAGTAGACTTTTTGCTCACAAGACTCCACAGCTTAGAGGGAACATTGTTATAAATATGTAGTCGACACATCCAGGTACAGTGTTGGCCAGGACCAGATTGAGTCCCTTTTAGTTTAGCTTGACAGATGAGCCAGAGTATTCACCACCCCCGTGTCTGTGCCTGACCTTCGAAGTAAATAGCCACGCTTGTCGTCTTCCAGGTGGAACGGCACATGTGCGACGGGGACATTGTCATTTTCAACCGGCAACCCACCCTGCATAAGATGTCCATGATGGGGCACAGGGTCCGGATCCTGCCCTGGTCAACTTTCCGTCTCAATCTCAGGTGAAGCAAAGACTCCCTCTTGTTCTGTTCGCCTTTTACACCCAGCGTTTTTTGGGGGAAAGAGGAGAGGTATTGGGGATTTCTCAAAGAAGAGCTTGGGCACCTGAGAACAGGTGGACAGCCATATTTGAGTCCAGTAGCACCTTAGAAGACACACCAGATTGACGGGGTGTGGGGTTTGGAGAGTCAGAGCTTCGCATATAACGAAGGGAACTTTGACTCATACCCTGAAGATCTTGTGGGACTCTAATGCACTCCTGGACTCAAATCTAGCTGTTTCAGCTGCAGGCCAATACACCTGCCCTCTGAGATGCTCTTCAAAGAAACCAGGTGGTTGATACAAAGAGTATTTTCTGAACAAGCTGGATGGAAATTTGGGGGCAGTGGTTTAACTTGCCATCTGGTGTTCGGCTCAGGTACGGCCAGAACACGCTGAGTCCCCTACTCTGGTCTTTTGTTCTGATGCAAAGTTCAGTGTTGAAAGGAATTCCCCATCTGGCGGCTCTGGCTGCTTCCATTATGCAGTATCAAGAGAAACAGATCTGCAAACGTGAAGGGTGCATAGAATTTCTGCACAGCACACGCGCACACACACACACACACACACGAGAACAGTGTTTTAGGGCTTCCGGTGGCGGGGAAAAAGAAGATGGCTGCCTAATCCGTCTTCCCCCGCGAACCCTGCCTTCCGTTGATCCCCACAGCGACTAAAACAACCCTTAGAGACACACCAGATTGTCGGGGTGTGGGGTTTGGAGAGTCAGAGCTTCGTATATAACAAAGGGAACTTTGACTCATACCCTGAAGGTCTTGTGGGTCTCTAATGCACTCCTGGACTCAAATCTAGCTATTTCAACTGCAGGCCAACACACCTGCCCTCTGAGATGCTCTTCAAAGAAACCAGGTGGTTGATACAAAGAGTATTTTCTGAACAAGCTGGATGGAAATTTGGGGGCAGTGGTTTAACTTGCCATCTGGTGTTCGGCTCAGGTACGGCCAGAACACGCTGAGTCCCCTACTCTGGTCTTTTGTTCTGATGCAAAGTTCAGTGTTGAAAGGAATTCCCCATCTGGTGGCTCCGGCTGCCTCCATTATGCAGCATCTACAGAAACAGATCTGCAAACGTGAAGGCTGCATAGAATTTCTGCACAGCACACACGCACACACACACACGAGAACAGTGTTTTCGGGCTTCCGGTGGCGGGAAAAAAGAAGATGGCTGCGTAATCCGTCTTCCCCGCGAACCCTGCCTTCCGTTGATCCCCACAGCGACTAAAACAACCGTTAACTATTATATTTTTATGGAGGCGAACGTCCGAACGAGCGCCCAACAGAACCTGAAAAAATTGAAGAAGCTTACTTCAGATTTAGAGTCGCAATCGCTAACTCAACAATCAGGCCCACGATCATTGCAAACGGACAAAATGGCGACGGACAACCCCGACAAGGAAAAACCGGTCCCAGTAACATCGGCCGATCTGACTGCGGCACTAATTAAAATAGGAAAAACCTTCATGGATCGCATCGCCACTATAAACAGAATGGAAAACACAGAAAAAAAACTTAAAAGAAACCCAACAAACGGCTGAAGGAGCCATGCAAAATAGTATTACCAACCATGCGGACATCAAACAAATCCATCAAACTGAAGATCTTTTAGCGGAACGTACTCTAAGACTTGATCTTTCCATGAGACAGAATAATTTAAAACTTAGAGGCCTGGGCGAAGACATAGAAAAACATGGAGACCTTGCGTTTCACATTTCATCATGGCTCTCGCAAACAATCAGAACTGAAGAAGACCTCTCATCTCTGATAACAAAAGCTTATAGACTGGGACCCACTTCTCTACTTAAAACCCGACCAGCACGGGACATTATGATTACTCTCAACGACAACAGATTTAGGAAAAGGATTTTAATCCACGCGAAAAGAAATGGTCACTTATCTTACTTAGGGCAAACAGTCGAAGTATATCCTGATCTCCCACGTGAGGCGATGGAGAAAAGGAGAGAGCTGAAGCCGGTGACCAGCATGTTACAAGAGGCAGACATCAAGTACACCTGGATAACCCCACTTACGCTGCAATTTTTGATTCGAGGCAAGCAATACAAGATCTCTGATAAAGAAGGAGGAATGAAAATCCTGAACACATTGAATGTGGAGGCGCCAATGGACTTCACCAGACAAACGAATAAACGCCCCCATTCAGCAACGCCAACACCGCCGCCATCTGACTGAGTGATCTGGCCGTTCACGATTGGATAAGTCATTCTCACATCAATCCTATCTCTATTTGCTGTTTGCAAAATATGTTAAGAGTAGTACATACGGGGGGGGAAGCAAACGAGGCTCCAATTTTTTAAAAAAACGAGGGACAAAGTTTCTGCATAGAACTTTTATGAATGTGCGCATAGCGTCATTTACTGTCCCCTTTCGGCAGCTACTCCTAAACCCCGACAAGATACTAGGACGGACTGGGTTGAAAACGAACTAACTGACCACTTAACGCAATATTATATTTTCATCCTTTATGATTCAATTAACTCCAATTTAAAAATGTGTTAAAATTCATGGTTGTTAATTAATTCTTGTTCCTGAACAGAAAAGGGGATTGCGGCCGGGGGGTGTGTGTGTGTTCCTAGTTGGTTAATAGCGTAAAAGAATTTCAATAACTCTCTGTTCTAAGTGCTGGGGATTTTAAGGGGAAGGTGTACACCCCAGCCTTCTACTCTTCTTCTTTAAGAGTGGAAGCATAGAGAGTAACTACTTTCATAGAACTCTCTTGACTTGTATTATAGAAAAATACTCCACAGAGATCAGTACAAGTGTTATTGTTGGCTTTTTATACTAGTTAAATCACACTAAAAACACTTCAATTTATTGGACTCTATCGACTCTATTGCTACTGTTTATGAATTGATACTGAGTGATTAGCTGTTTTAATTAATTGAAAAGTTTAAAATCGATGAATTATGTGAAAAATCAACATTAACTCACTGTTTTTTATTGTTATATTATTAGACTAATTGAACACTAAAAACAATCCCACTTACTGGACTATACTGATTCTACCATTACCATTTATGAATTGTTATTAAGTGATCAGCTGTTTCATTTAATTTAAAAGTTAAAGTGACAGTGTGTTTTTTATCAAAAAATCCTAAGAACCATATCAATTCTCTGTTTCTATCAAATAAGGTGTGATCCCTACAATTAACTCTCTCCTTTTGATTTAGTATAGACATCACTACTTATCCTTGCAAATAGAAATCCAGGAGCTGGTCTACAAATAGATCAAGAAGAATACCCATCTGAATTACGGTACCTCCTAGACCCTTCAGACCCAAAGTTACATACCTTCTTTAAGGTAAAGCTACCACTTTGCATTGAACGACACTAATATGGCTCCAAACATAAAAATTATGTCTTCTAACATTAGAGGCTTGAACCACCCTGTCAAAAGAAGGAGAGTCTTTTCCAACTTTACAAAAATAAGACCTGATATCTTCTTATTACAAGAGACCCACGTGAGAAAAGAGGAAAGACTGATTTTTAAATCACAGAAATTTCAAGCCCAACTCTTAGCACCAGGGAGTTCAAACCTTCGGGGAGTGGCTATCCTTCTAACAAGTAACATCCGCTTCCAATTTGAGAAAAAAATTGTAGACCCCTCTGGTAGATTCCTCTTTATAAAAGGGATGTTGGAAAATAGAAAAATGATTGCCACCATATATGTTCCTAATGAAGGTCAACTGAATTTTATCCGATCTTTATTAGCCAATTTAAAAGACTTTGCAGAAGGAGACATTATATTGGGGGGAGATTTTAACTACATAGCTGACAATATTCTGGACAGATCTCTCCCCCGCACCAAATCAAGATTCACTCAATTGGAATCTATTTTGAAAGAACATGGCCTTACTGACATTTGGCGTCTATTGCACCCGGGGGGGAAAGACTTTACATACTTCTCAGCCAGACACAATGCCCACACAAGAATAGATTTAATTTTATTATCCCAATCATTGGTAATGCAAGCGACTAATTCTGAAATCGAACCGTTCAGATGGTCGGACCATGACTGGCTGGAATGCACTCTGAGACGTTTTGATGAGAACAAATCACACAGACAATGGAACCTAAATGTTTTTTTATTGAATGATTAACTGTTAAGGGAACAGATAATCACACAGACAATGGAACCTAAATGTTTCTTTATTGAATGATCAACTGTTAAGAAAACAGAACAGGACATCAAAAATTACTTCATAGACCATTCAGGACATGGCACATCCCCAGCTATGATTTGGGAAGGCCTGAAGCCAGTTCTTCGAGGTTCCATTATCTCAAAATCCACGCACCTAAAAAAACCAAAGACAAAAGTTAGAAACAGAAACACTGAACAACATCAAAATACTAGACAAAAAACACAGACGGGATCAACGCACACTCTAAAACTACTTCAAGCAGAACGCAGGAATCTTGCCTTGATAGAGACAACCAAAATCAAAAAACACTTACTGTACACGAAACAGAAATACTGGGTTAAATCCCCACGCACACTCAAACTTCTTGCACACAAAGTAAAGGAACAAACGCTATCCAAACATATACAGGCCATTAGAACATTGCAAGGCGAAGTAGTCTCTCAAACAGAAAAGATTGCACATAGATTTCATGAGTACGACACTCAGTTATACACTACCATGCCTTGTGATCTGGTCATTCTCCAGAAAGAAGCTCAAAATTTTCCCATTCACACTAAACTGACAGAGGCACATAAGATGTCCTTGGAGGACAGGATTTCGGAACAGGAAGTGCTGGATATTATCAAACAACTCAAACCAAACAAAACATCAGGTCCAGATGGATATCCAGCTGAATTTTACAAGACATTTGCCCCTAATCTAATTAAACTCTTAGCAACACTATTTAATCACATCCTAGAAATAGGTACCATCCCACCTTCTTGGAATCAAGCTGTGACGGTAGTTATTCCTAAAAAAGATAGGGACCCTTTACGACCCAGCTCTTATCGCCCCATTTCCCTCCTCAACCAAGATCAAAAAAATTTCTCCTCAATTATGGCCAAGAGACTGAACAAATTTACCTCAGACTATATAGAAAGACCCCAAAGGGATCTCGCTGATAACACCTTTCGAACCCTACAATTAATACAGTACTGCAACGCTACTAAGACTTCCGCTGCTTTCCTTACATTAGACGTAGAAAAAGCGTTTGATACGGTTGATTTCCAATACTTGTTTAATATCCTACAAAACGTGGGCTTTGGTCCTAAATTTATCAGAGCAGTGAAAAGTCTCTATGACCATCCTACCACCAAAATTAAAATAAATGGCACCCTCTCAAATTCAATTAAACTAGGCAAAGGCACAAGACAGGGTTGCCCTCTCTCGCCACTGTTGTTTGCGTTGGCGCAAGCTATCAGGACGAATACTGACATCTTAGGGATCTCACCAAAACAGACAGAACACAAATTTTCGCTCTTTGCAGACGATACGTTGTTGTATCTTTCAGACCCTATAAAATCACTTCCCAAACTGATGTCTTTACTAAAATCCTTCAAAATAGTTTCAGGACTGGGCATAAATGACTCAAAATCCCAGGTCCTCCCTATACATCTACCCACGGACATACAAAACGCTATAAAAACCCAGTACAAATTTAGCTGGACTACAAAAACTCTTCATTATCTTGGCATTGACATTTCATCAGATAATACCAAGCTACTTCAACACAATCATCACAATATACATGCTAGAGTCCAAAGAGATATCCAGAACTCGAACAAATTGAATCTCTCTTGGTTGGAAAGGTTCCACCTTATAAAAGCTTTTATCCTTCCCAAGTTCCTCTTCCTATTTAGGACGCTACCTATCTTCATCCCACAACCTGAACTAAACAAATGGCAGACCACGTTGAGAAAATTTCTTTGGAATGGGAAAAAACCACACATTGCTCACCAGATACTGAAAAGGCCCAAAACACGAGGAGGATATGGTCTCCCAGATCTTACAACATACCACAAAGCAACCTTATGTTGTACGGATGCAAAAACTTCCCCACTACCACCATAGGTCCAGCTAATCTCTGACCAAACTAATTCTCACAATATTGATACTCTTTTAAGGGGTAATCTTCCAAACAAACTCACAGGAATAACGAAAAATAGTCTCATCTATCCTTCTTTGAACTATTGGGCAAAAATGAAACGTAAACTTCTTCCACCAATCTCGAGATACTCCACATATACGTCACAGAGTTGGTTTCTAGATAATACTCACTAAGATTTCTGGAAGAGATGGAGAGAGGTAAACCTGTCCAGATATTGCGATGTAGTTAAGAGGGAGGGCCTTCGCTCTAAATTAGATCTAGAAAAGATATTAGGCCTCAAGATTCCGTGGTTCCTGTATCTGCAATTACAGCATTTGATTAGTCAACAAAAAATGAGAGAAGCTACGTCAAAGCCCCCAACACGTCTTGAAGTCATCCTTAAAAGCTACAATCTTCAAAACAAAGGTATGATTTCAGCACTTTACAAATTGTTACTCAAAGAAAATGAATTAAAAAATCTGTCATATCAAAAAGCTTGGCAGAAAGACTGCACAAAACTCCTAGACGAAACAATTTGGTCAGAAATCGGAGGTCAACCAAAAACAAACCTCGTTCATACGCAGTTGAAATTAAAAAACTCAAAATCATAACGAGATGGTACTTAGCCCCTCAAACCATCTCACATATGTCTCCTACACACTCTCCAAAGTGTTGGAGAGGCTGTGATGTACATGGAACCTTCGCACATTGTTGGTGGCAATGCACAAAAATAAAAACCTGGATGGAAATATTAAAAATAGTAAAACTGATCTTAAATATCGAGTTAACACCAGACCCTGAAAACTTACTACTAGAAATATGGTCTGATCAGATTAACCAACACCATTACAGAAACACACTGGAAACGATGTATGTGGCCAGAGTCTCCCCCAACATCCAAACTTGGTTCAGAAAATTGTGGGACCAGTATGTATTAGAGAGTATAACAGATAAGTGTAGTAATTCTTTAAAGAATAACCCAAATGTGTCGTTCAATGCAAAGTGGTTCCCAATCCTGACATACCTTTCGGAGGAAGAGTATATACCTTCCTCTTGGAAGGGCTATTGGAAATGGTTCTAAGGTTACACACTACAAGAAGTATATCAATCATAATAGGATCATCCTTTATAAAACAATTTTTTTGGCTAACAGTAAACATGGTTTTCAAGTTGCAAGGTCATCCAAAATTATATTAGTATGGGATCACATCTACTCTCAAGTTATATCAACAAAATCACTCAAAACAACTAATTCCGTTTATGTTGTAACATTACACTATCTCTATTTTTTGATATTTTACATAGTTCATTGTTTAATATATCAATCCATATTTTCTATTGCAAATTTATTCAATAATTGTAATTGCGTAAGAACTACTCAATTTGAAAAGTAATTCACTCGTGTTATTATGTTTCTTACAGTTCTTATTACTCAATAAAAAAATTTAAATAATAAAAAAAGAACAGTGTTTTAGCTGGTAGTCGCAGCACAGAGAAGGGGCGCTCCTTTCAGAGCTGAATGCTCAACTTTCTGATTGTCAGTGTCATTGATAGGTCAAATATTGCCTGCCGGTAAGTGTGCATCCTTCAAAGCAGTGTTCCGGCCAGGGATTCCACAGACTAGAGGTCATATTCCACGCAGTGCTGTGTCCCACTGAAGGGAGCTGTATCTTTGCCGGTGTTTGCACTCAGAGCACAAAACAAAAAAAAATATTCCAGGTTCTTTGCATGCAGAAAGTCCAAGTTTCCTGACCCCTTGGAGATCCACTGCCACTCTGACTCTAGCGGCAGCTGGGAAATGACCTGATTTGTATATTTCCTGTGTTCCATTCAGGGCAGATGGCCCCTCCCTAGGAGCTGGGGATTAAACGATTTGAGCTGCACTGGTTTTGTATAGAGGTAGTTTGGTGTTGTGGTTAAGTGCGCGGACCCTAATCTGGGAGAACCGGGTTTGATTCCCCACTCCTCCACTCGCAGCTGCTGGATGACCTTGGGCGAGCCATAGCTCTGTCAGAGCTGTTCTCTCAAGGGCAGTTCTGGAAAGAGCTCTCTCAGACCCACCTCCCTCTTTTGTGGGGAGGGGAAGGGAAAGGAGTTCATAAACCGCTCTGAGTGAAGGGCGGGGTATAAATCCAATCTCCTCTTCTATGTAGCTGTTTGTGGGGGGGGGGGCAGTTCAATAACTGTGAAGTCAGGCATCTGAAGATTCCTTGAACACACAAATAAACATGACTATGCCTTACTGCCTGGCCCTTTTCATTGGAGATGCTGGGCGCTGAGCCTGGGACTTTCTGCACCTGCTCTACCACTGTGTCACAGCTCTGCCTTGGCCAGAGCTCTGCTTTTGAGAGTCTTCTTTCCTCCCGACAGTGTGACCACCCCTTACAATGCTGACTTTGATGGCGACGAGATGAACCTTCATCTCCCCCAGTCCCTGGAGACGCGGGCCGAGATCCAGGAGTTGGCCATGGTGCCCCGCATGATCGTCACGCCGCAGTCCAACAGGCCAGTCATGGGCATTGTGCAGGACACCCTGACGGCCGTCCGCAAGTTCACAAAGAGAGACGTCTTCCTAGAGAGGGTGAGTGGGAGAGGGAAGCACGATCCCGGTTGCAGGGAAAAGCACGGTTCCTGGCTCCCGGCTTTCTCGGGAAAGTTGCTTGTTTAAAAAGTTGTGATGAGAAAGGGCTTTTTCCATTTTATTTTATTTCCTCTTTAGCGTTCTGAGAGATTTTTAAAAGTTTTTTTTGTCATGTTCTCACCAAGATGCAAGGTGGTTTTTGTTTATTTATGTTAGTCACAGTCTGCCTGTGTCACTGGGACTACAGTTGAGCAGAGGTGTCGAACTCATTTGTTATGAGGGCCGGATCTGACATAAATGAGGCCTTGTTGGGCCGGGCCATGTGTGTCATAAAATGTAACGCCAGGTAGTGGAGATATAAACTTTATAAAGGACACAAAGGGTTTTTTTAAACTTAAAATAAAAACATGCTTAAAACATTAGCTCTGTAAGCTGCAAAACTACTTATGATTTATTGACATTCACCACAGTAATCTCATGCTCAGAATTCTGAGTCTGGGACCCAGGTTAAAAACATGAAATGTCTGAGTGATTAAGAGAGTCTGGCGAAGCAAGCTATGATGCAGCAGCAGCAGAACTGGAAGCAGGAGATGGCCAGTTCTACTGTGGGCCTAATGGAAGCCCTCCGGGGGGCCTGATCCGGCCCCCGGGCCGCGTGTTTGACTCCCCTGACGTAGAGTCAGCCAGTACAAGGCAACAAAATGGGACCTCCAACAACACTGTATTAGATAAGCAGCACAGAAAGTGGGTTACAAACGCATTCCAGTTCAGGGAATAGAAGTGCATGCGGGTTCTAAGCGGCAAAGCACTTGCGAGTGAGTGTCTTCCTAGAAAGCGACCCTCTGGGGCAAGCCACCGTCACTGCATTCTGCGCATGCGCATTGCATCATCAGTGTACTCTGGCAATTTTGAACTGGGGGGGGGATTGTGTGCTCAGCTCTTTGCCTTTTAGGACAGCCTCTTTCCCCTTGCTTCCTTCAGGGCGAGGTGATGAACCTCCTGATGTTCCTTTCCACGTGGGACGGCAAAGTGCCCCAGCCGGCCATCCTGAAGCCCCGCCCCCTGTGGACCGGGAAGCAGATCTTCTCGCTGATCATTCCGGGCCACATCAACTGCATCCGGACGCACAGCACCCACCCGGACGATGAAGACAGTGGGCCGTACAAACACATCTCTCCCGGGGACACCAAGGTATCGCCCTGGGCCACCCTTGGGAAGAAGGGGTCAGGAGGTGGCTGTGGGGGGGGGGACACGCACCCTTTTGCGCCTGTACAACAGCTGGTCTCTGCTGTTGGGTTGTTTTCTGGGCCCCTAGAATTTATTGGCTTCCAAGTTAATTAAGAGCCAGTTTGGTGTAGTGGTTTAAGTGCGCGGACTCTAATCTGGGAGAACCGGGTTTGATTCCCCACTCCTCCACTTGCAGCTGCTGGATGACCTTGGGTCAGTCACAAGCTCTGGCACAGCTGTCCTTGAAGAAGAGCACTTTGTGTCAAGAGCTCTCTCAGCCCCACCCACCTCACAGGGTGTCTGTTGTGGGGAGGGGAAGGGAGAGGAGTTTGTAAGCCACTCTGAGACTCCAAGCGAAGGGCGGGGTATAAATCCAATCTCTTCTTTTCTTCTTCTTCTCTTCTTGACTTGATTTATACTCCACCTTTCTTCCCAGAGTGACTTACGTTATTCTCCCCTCCTCCATTTTATCCTCACGACCACCCTGTGAGGTAGGCCAGGCCGAGAGGGTGTGGCTGGCCCAAGGTCAGCTAGTGAGCTTCCACGGCACAAGTGGTAATTTGAACCTGGGTCAAAATGACAGTCACTCAGTAAACGTCAAGAAACACCGGAAGGAGGGGCCAGTGAGCGTTATTGGGGTGTGTGTGTCAGAGGAAATGAACAAGGCTTACACCTGTTGGCAGAGGACACTAATAAAGGGGGGCAGACGAATCTCCCCGGGGAAGGGAGTTCAAACTTTGGTCCCATAACTGAGAAGGCCCTGTGTTGGGTTGCCACCCATCAAGTCCGCCACGCTTTTTCCACTCGAGAGCCACTGAGTTGGCTTAGATGGGGCGTTTTCTTCCAAGGTTGGGTCTCCACAGAGCTTGCCGAGTGATTTTGGGTCATTCATTTACTCTTGAGCGTACCCTGCTTCACAGGGTGGGGGTGAAGGGGAAACAAGGGGACCCACGCCATCCAAGTCCACTTCCTTAAGCTCCTTGGGATGTAAATGGGAGGAATGATTGGAATGCCAACTGGGCTTTTGCGCCCCCCCCCCCCAAATCTCTCTGAGATCTGTACAGCGTGGCACGCAGCAACAGCAGCAGCTGTGGAAGTTTTTCCTCGCGGGCCCGTGCCAACCGTTGCCTTCTTACGCTTCTTCCTCTGCAGGTCATTGTGGAAAACGGAGAGCTGATCATGGGGATCTTGTGCAAGAAGTCACTGGGGACCTCAGCCGGCTCTCTGGTCCACATCTCCTACCTGGAGATGGGCCACGACATCACCCGCCTCTTCTACAGCAACATCCAGACGGTCATCAACAACTGGCTGCTGATTGAAGGTGACCTTGGGTCTTTTAGGTGGCGGGTTGTGTGGCTCCTTCCAAAGGGCCCGGGGAATTTCAGTTCTGGAGGCGAACATTTTTCTCCCTCTCCCAAAATACTAGAACGCGAGGGCATCCAAGTGACGGGCAGTAGGTTCAGGACAGACAAAAGGGAGCACTACTTTACGCAGAGAGTGATTAAAATGTGGAATTCGCTGCCAGAGGATGTAGCGACGGCCACAGGAATAAACAGCTTTAAATGGGGTTAAGATTGATTCATGGAGGAGGAGTCTGTCAATAGCGACTAGCCATGGTGACTGGGGGGAACCTCCACATTCAGAGGCACTAATCCTCTGCATCCAGGAGGCAACATCAGGCGAAAGCCTCTATGCCTTGCTGCTGGCCCTCCAGAGGAACTGGTTGGCCCCTGTGTGAGACGGGAGGCTGGACTAGATGATGATGATGGTTTATTTGATTTGTACCCCATCCTCCCCGCTGAGGCAGATGGATTGCTGGCCTGATCCAGCAGGGCTCTTCTTACATTCTTAACATTAGGGGAAGGCCTCGGCCTCTCTGCCCTGTTGTTGGCCCTCCAGGGGAACTGGTTGGCTGCTGTGTGAGACGGGATGCTGGACTAGATGGACCCTCACTGGTGTGATCCAGCAGGGCTCTTCTTACGTCCCTAACATTAGGGAAAGGCCTCGGCCTCCATGCCCTGTCGTTGGCCCTCCAGAGGAACTGGTTGGTCACTAGGTGAGACGGGATGCTGGACTAGATGGACCCTCCCTGGTCTGATCCAGCAGGGCTGTTTTGATGTTGAGCTGTGGCCGTGGGGCTCCTTGGTGTTCCCTTGGAGTTTCTGCGTAAGGCTTGCAGGACAGACAGAATGTGAAGGGGTATCTGGAGTTAAGTGCTTATGAATCAGTCAGAGCAGGCACCGTTGACGTATCATCAGGGGTCCTCTGGTTTCACTGGGTGCTTTATTCAAAATCCTGGCGTGAGAGCTGGCACGGCACACTGGACAGAGGGTTGAACTAGGATTCTAGGAGACGTGGGCTTGAATCCCCACTTCCGTGGAAGCTTGCTGGGTCACCTGCCACAAGCTCTCAGTCTGACCTACCTCACAGGGTGGTTGTTATGGGGGAATGGGTTATGTGTTGCTTTTAAACTGCTTTGAGTCCCAACTGGGAAGAAGAACAGGGCATAAATTCACGTGGGGCCCATTTGATCTGGGTTGAGAGCTAGCAGGAGAAAACACAGAGCCACACCTGGTTTTCGAGAGGAGCGCCTCACCGGCATGCAGAAATAGGTGCTAGCAACTCCTTGACTGGGGCGCTCTGCAAGAATCGGCACGCTCCCAGCCGTTTGTCTTCCAAATGGGCTTGTTTCAAAGCTTGTTTCCTTTCCCAGGTCACACGATTGGCATCGGGGACTCCATTGCTGATGCCAAGACCTACCAGGACATTCAGAACACCATCAAGAAGGCTAAGCAGGATGTGATAGAGGTAAGGAGGAGAGGAGAGGGATCCATCCTGAGCAGGCCTTTGGGGGTGGTGGTGAGGGGCTTGCTTATTGGGGAGATGGTTTTACCTTTAAACACGCTTTCTGTACCTAAACGTGGTCGATTTTTGCCGCCACCAGGAATTAAAAATTCCAAA